ATAAAAAGGCACTGAGTGATCCCTGCCGTGTGTACTGCCAGTCACACTTTGGGAGGCATTGCTGTTCCATGTACCACACGGTCTCCCGTTGCTCTGTGTCCTCTGAGGGAGGTCACTCAAGCATCCGTGTGCTGCTGGGGTATTCAGGGGCCGTCCCAGTGGCCTGAAGCCTGTCAACCCAGAGCTTTCTAGTCTTGTAGACCAGTTGATGCCAGTGTTTTAAAAATGATATTTAAGAACCAAACTGCGTAAAGTGTGGCTCAGCTCTCTGTGCTGTGACCCTCAGCTCTCTTAAAGAGCAATGTCGTGTGCAGGCCCTGCTCCCCTGTTCCCCCGGCCCCTGCATCCTATGGCCCTCTGAGGTCATGTTGCCACTGACAGAAGGTAAACCCACCTGAGGCTCCTCAAAGACTTTCTGCAAAGAGCTCACCTCTGACCACCTGCAACATTGTCTCCCACTCTGACCACATCATCATGTTGATTCGTGTTTTACAAAATTTACCTCAACAGCCCCAGGGGTCTGAGTCAGCCTACATAGACCTTGTCATCCCAGGGTCTCAGATTTCTCCTCTGCAGAATGAGGACCCACACGCAGTCACCACAGGTCCCTGTGCTCCCCACTCTTCAGAGCTGCCCTGTCCAGTATCCGGACCATGTGCTGCCACTCGTGGCTGGTTCAGTTCACAGTTAACTTCGTTTAAATAAAGTGGAATTTAAAATTCAGTTTCTTGGTTGTGCTCGGCACTTCCCAAGTGCTCAGTAGCCACAGCTCTCCAGGGCAGCCCATCTGACTGTCACCGTGCCCTCCTGGCCAGCACTGCCCTAGGTCCTGTGACACCGCCGTGCACAGGCGGCCCTAGGAGCTGGGAGTGCATTGGAGCTTTCGGGGCAGTGGTGATCCATGGCCAGGAAAGCCATAAGCATGGCAGTGATTGCCCTAAGGTTGAAGGCAATGTCCGAGTCCTGATTTTAATCTTGGCCAAAATAAACCATGCAACCTGATCGTGAGTGCCTATTGAAGAGCAAGCTCCTCAGTAGGAAGAGAAGGGGCTGGGTAGGATGGGGCCCCTTGGGATGGTGACCCAGCACTCTGCCATCAACCAAAAGAGACGCGTTTAGACACAAGGGTTCGGGATTGGGGTGCCTGTGTTGAAAAAAGTTATTCCACCCCAAAAAGGACATACTCCAAGGAAGGAACTGAAAAGGGAGGAATGTTCACCCTGGAAAAGGGAACAATAAAGTTTGTAGGAAAAGAGAAGTTTAAAGTAACCTCTAATAGAAATCAGTTATGAAACAGCCAACTCGCAACTCGGAAAAATAAAAAATCTTCCAGCAAAAAAGACAAGGAGGAGATTCAAGGAGGGTGGGGGGCAGAGGTGAGGCTGTCAATCTGTCCAGCCTCATATCCTCATGGGATCAAAAAAGACAAGCCCTGGGGTGGAGGGGAGACTCGGGCTGTGTCACAATTGAAATCCAGTGTTTGTTCTTTCACATTTGAAAGTTACACAAAAAGGTTGAAGGGAAACGTGCTATAAATCCACAATGCTAATTAAAATCCCACCTGATTTTTTAAGAAATTCATTAAACTTTAAAATTTATACAGAAAAAAAGGACACATTGAACCTTGAAACTGAAAAAGTCCAGTCAGCTTTGAGGAGATGTCAGTAGTGATTTCCTGCTGGATTCTACTGACTGAAGACCTGGCAGTAACTGCAGTCAGTGGGCAGACATGGGCTTGGGCTGGGGGTTGGCTCTGGCCAGGCAGAGTGCACACTGGGCCAACTTAGAGGATTGAAAACCTCAATGTGAATAGAAGAACAGGAAATTAGTAGAAAAATGGGAAAACCTATTTGTGGGCTCAGAGTGGAGAAGAACTTAAAACCTCAAAGTGCAACCATTGGACAAGAGTGGGTTTTATTTGTTTTTTAATGATGTGGTTTTTATTTCAGATAGAAAGGGAAAGAGAAATAAAAACATAAATGAGAGAATCTGATTGGCTGCCTCCTGAGTACCCTCCACTGAGGCCCAAGCCCACAACCTGGGCGTGTGTCCTTACCAGGAATCGAACCATAACCTCCTGATTCATAGGTCGACGCTCAACCACTGAGCTACGCTGGCTGAGCTGATGGGGGTTTAACATAAAAGTGAAAATTTCTGTAGAACAGAGTGCCTTGAATGGGCCACAGATAGCAGATAAGAGCTATTGCAGCATTTAAATCTGGCAAGATCCTAATACATGTAAAGAAATTTCCCCAAATCGGAGATGAGGTAGGAATCTGTATAGAAATAGACAAGAAGCCAGAGGGCCACTGGCAAAAGAAGTGCTAGCTAGACCAGGGGATCCCACATGCACCTGGGTTGCCTAAGAAGAGTGCTCAGCCTCGCACACCTGAGCTCAAAATACCGTTGGTGCCATGCTGGGACCATCAAGGCCACAGCCCCGTGCAGTGCCTCTCTATTAGAGGGGTACAGGACAGCTCCAGGGGGACCCTTATAGATGGGATGGGGATCCAGGCTGAGAGTGCTCATGAGCACTGGGCAGCAGGGACGGACCCTCTCTGAATTTTGAAACAACCAAAGACAAAGTCTAGGAAGCTAGTTTTAGAGAGGGGGGAGGGTTAAAAGAAGCCAGTGGGTGGCACTATTGATGATACAAAGAGGGAAAGCCATTCACTATCAGGTCCAGTGGAAAACAGATCAGGCAACCATCCTATATAGTAATAAATGGCCAGGGACCATAACCCTAACAACCAGAATGAGCGCTCGGCCAGTCACCATGAGGTGCATTGACCATCTCTCAGTCCCTTCCATCTCCCACCTTCCCCGCCCACCCACCTCCACCCACAGGCAAATGGGGAAGCGGGTGGGTGGCGGTGGGGTGGGACTGGGGACTGGCAAACGGGCGGAACAGCTGACCTCTTAGTCCCTCCCCACAGCCCACAGGTTCCGATGGATCGGCAATGGTGTAGGGGGGAACTAGGGTGGGTGTCGGGAGGACCAGGCCTTCTGTCAAGTCATTGGGATCCCCAGCTCATCCTCGGCTGCTTAGGGGCTCAGACCAGTAGGCTGGCCACTGATGGAACATGCTGCCCTCCTGGGGCTGCTCACACAGGCACTGCCACTACCACTACCACCACTGCTGGTGCTTGCGGTGCTGACAGAAGCTGCGGGGCGTGCCCACAACTTACCCACCCTGGCAGCAGAGGTGGCATTCAGCCTGAGGACTTGTGAACTGGCAGAAGATGGCCCTGGTTGCAGGCTAGGCCTAGGGACTCTACCCACACGATTTTGTGCACTGGGCCTCTAGTAATTAACAGTCACATAGGTGCAAGGTGATGTGTGCGAGGGAAGAAGGCACGAGCATGTTGGGCATGCTCACTGAGGAGTCACTGAGTCTGGCTGGAGCGGGATGACCTGGGGGGGCTGACGGGGCGCAGGGAGGAGGGAAGGAAGAGGGTGAGGAGACAGTGACAGAGCAGCCTGGAAAGGGCTGGGCAGAGGGCAGAGAAGGCCTCAACAAAAGGGAAGGTCTTTTTTGTTAAGCTGCATTAATTGAAAGCTTTTTATTTTAACTTCCATTAAATGTATTTCAAAATGTTGCATAAGTAGATATAAAAAGTTATAGTCAAATAAAGCTGATGTAACAAGTCCTGGGCAGGGCTCTTCCTAGTGCTTAGGACCCAAAGAGACAGACACCTCTGCTGGTTGTAGTGTTCCCTCCCTCCCTCCAATCCTCTCTCCTACCCTCCCTCCCTCCGACCCTCCTTATAGTCAAATAAAGCTGATGTAACAAGTCCTGGGCAGGGCTCTTCCTAATGCTTGGGACCCAAGGAGACAGACACCTCTGCTGGTTGTAGCATTCCCTCCCTCCCTCTGACCCTCCCTCCCTCCCTCTTAATTTTTTACAACTGCAAAAGTAACACAACTTGAAAAAAAATGTCAAGCCATAAAATATTGTAAAGAGTAAAAATTGAAAACTATACCCAGATGAGTCCTCGTCTAGGTGTCCCCCATGCATGTGCTCCAGGCTCCACTTTCTGCCCCTGCTGCTCTTGGACCAACAGCCATGCGGCCACCAGAGCCACTTTACCACCAAGAGCAGAGAACCCCCTAGAGCTGTCCACTTCATGGGATGGTCTACACTCCCCTGCAGGGGCTCAGTGGGCTCAGCCTGAGGCCGCCTCCCTCCTCACAGCCTGCCTCCCACCCTTGGGCCCTGAGCCCCTCCTCAATCCAACCCTTGCACGGGATTCCACCTCAGGGTCTGTGTGCGGAAAGCTTGACCCTGACAGACACCTCAGTGCCACTGCTCTCAGGCTCAGGGCATCCCAGCTGCCATTCAGGCTCTGCTGGGCACAAGAGAAAGAGCCCTGCCACAGAGGTCTGATTCTTCATTCAAGGGCTCTCTGGAAGGGGTGCAGGAATCAGGCACGACTCCAACCCAGGCGAGCATCAGATTCAGGGGTGTCGACAGGCGGAGGAGAGCACACAGCACAGCAGCCCTCTGGCCTCCCGTTCTCCACCCACATAGCCCCCCAGCTCAGTGACCCTGGCGGGGAAGGCTGTGAGGATGAGGGAGTGGGCTCCCAGGAGACAGGCTCAGGGCCACGGGAGGGAGGGCTGGGACCCCCTCTTACAGGTGGGCCCTGACACCCAGGAAGTAGCAGAGCTGGTTCTGCAACCTGGGCCCCCTGATGTCCCCTGGGCACAGCACAGGGTGAGGATGACACGAGCTCACCTGTGGCCATCCAGCTGAATTCCACCCCTCCCACGTCCTCCACACCAGCAGCTGGTGGGCGCTGAGCCCCCTAACCAAATAGGGCAGAAAGCAGACGGGAGTGCAGGCTCTAGGAAAATGCGCTGCCTGTTTGCAGATCTGAGTGTACTCCCCATTTGCAAACAGAGGCAGGTCCTGGATCCGGGAGCTGGCAGACCTTGCCAAACCCCAGGCCAGGCACCTCGCCTGCCTGCCTGAGTTCAGTGAGGACACCAGAGTGGCCATCTCTGCCTGCGCAGGCCTACCAGGAAGGGTCCCACCCCAGGGGCGAGCCCAGTCTCGCTGCTCGGACCAGGCTCTTGCTAGAAGTGGTCCAAGACCTCCGAGGCCTCTTCCGGAAGAAGCCATTGTGCCAGGTGGGGACTGTTTGACATCGCATGGGCACAAGGAAGAAGGTAGGCAGATGGACTCTAGGGAGGCTGGTGAGCACCCCAACCCAGCTGGGTTCCAAGGGGTGGATTCTCCAGGGAGGCTGGCACTCCGAGATCTGGCACAGGGCTGGGCATCATGAGAAGGACCAGGTGCTCGGTGTGGCTTTGTGCAGGGCACCCCAACTCTAGGGAACTCAGTTTTCCACCGTCCAATGAGCCTATCACAGAACAGGTGACTTTTGGCCTCTTGCTTGGGGCATCCTCTGTTCTGTCTCTGCTGAACAGAGCACCGAGGATGCCCCTCCTCACTTGCTCACAACAGTAGGAACACCCCACACCCGCACTGGCTCTGGGGCATCCGTAACCTGGCAGGGTCGGGAGGTGTGGACACCACGTCTGCCCCTCTGGCCTCAGTTTATCTGGACTAGATGAACTGTCCCCTATCCCCTCTGGCTTCCCGTGTCTCCTCCACCTACATAAGCCTCCCACCTCAGTGACCCTGGTGATGACACTCAGGGCCACACTGGTTCTGCTGCAGACCCAGGACCCCAAGGAGGAGCCAAGGTCCTGTCTCTCTCTCCGTTAAAGGGTATCTTCTGCCCCCCACGGGCTAACAAAAGGAAGAGGGTTACCCATGCTCCCAGCCCGCATGCAGGGCTAAGGGGGAGGTGGGTACTCATCAGACAGACAGGCAGCTCCCTCGCCCAGTTCTGGGGTCTTCACGTGGTCCCTGGCCCTGCCTGCAACCCCTGGGCCCTGTACTCACCTCTCGGGGGGTCTGAGGGCTGTGCGGTGGTGCAGCCATGTCTCATGTGCCCCTCTTTACTCTGGCACCCACCCTGGTCCTGGCGGGTGCAGGAGCGGAATGCTGCGGAGGCGGGCCCCAGAGGACAATACTGTCCTGATCGACATGGCCCTGGGAATGGAGAAGGCGGACTCTTACGGAAGCATCTCACAGGTAACTCTCCATCACCAGGGACTGGGGAACAGGAGGCCCAGCACAGCCCTTCAACTCCCCGCCCTGGGCTTCAGGCCATGGTCTAAGGTGGATACTGGAGGGTCTCTGTGTCCCACCCCACGCCCGGAATAGACACAGAGACTCTGGGGACAATGGCCTGCACTGGCCCCGAGCCCCTGGGGTGGATGCTTCCTGGAGACCCCAAGCCCTCACCTGTTATATGGACCTCGAGGGTCCCCACACTGCCTGGGAAGAGGGGGGTGTCACAGTTAGGTCACTGCCTGCCTCACTGACTCTGAGAGATGTGTGGAACCTCCTGGGATGGCTAGATGAGGCCACTCAGGTATAAGAGGGGGCAGTATCAGATCTCATTAGCATGGAGGGGAGAGAGGGGGACATAGGGCTCCCATTCCTGGCCCGGGGCGGGGGGCACATACACCCTGAGTGAGGCTGTTGGGAGAATTCCTGGTCCTCCTGGGCTTTGTGTCTGCCTCCAGGTGCTGCCCATCCCCTTCTCCCCCAGCTGAGAGCAGACACAGGGACCCCTTCCTGCTGCCCCACAGTACAGTGTCTGGGGATGGGGAACCCAAGGCCTCATTCACTCAGAACAGGATTGCACCCTCTGGGCTCATGACCACCTCTGCCATCCACAGGGCCACTTACAGGACAGCCCAACTCCCCTCCAGCCCCTGGAGCCAGCAGGGTGGGCACCCTGGTTTTGGCCATGCTGCCTGCAAATTTGACCCTTGCCCACTGCACAGAGGCCAGGGGTCAGGAAGGACGGTGGGACTGCTCATCCTAGATGTGCCTCTGAGCCCCCTGCCCACACCCATTTGGCCTTCCGTGTTCCTGGGTGGTCTAGGGCTGGATGGGGTGTGTTCTCACCATGAGGTGCTTTCCTTCCAGCCCGATGAACACCAGACGGCCACTTGCAGGATCGGTGAGCCCTTCCCAGTTCTCCAGCTGTTCCTGTGTTGGTCCTGGGGGGTGGAAACACAGATGGGGCACCCCCATATGGTACAATAGCAAAAGGACAGCAGGTCTGAATCACCAACCTCTTTGACCAGGCTGCACCTCCCCACCTCAGCACTATCTCCTGAGCCAGCTCTGGTGCTAATTGCTGTGCTGGGAAATGGGGTGAGGGCCCCATGGTGAGCAGAACACAGTCTGGGGCCACAGCAGAAAAGGGGGGTTCCTACTGAGGGGCTGGAGCTGAGAGAGCTCTGGAGGGCAGAGAGGGCCCATCTCCCTCCTGCTCTGGCCTCAGGACAGCTTGGAGTCACCTCAGATTCTTTTTATTTTTTAATTGATTTTTAGAGAGAGAGGAAGGGCGAGGGAGAGAGAGAGAAATATCACTGTGAGAGCAGAACATTGATCAGCTGCCTCCTGCACATCCCCAATGGGGATCAAGCCCATAACCGGGATATGTGCCTGACTAGGAATGGTGCACAGAAACAATGCCCAAAAAACACCAACCAGGGCTCATTTCAGATTCTTACCTGTTGTGCCCCATAGCTTTCCACCAAATCCTCACCTCCCCGCTCCCCCCCCCCCAATCCCCCCAATGCCTCCTGTCTGCCCCAAGCCACCATCATTTCTGAAAGGACTGCATCCCACTGGCCTCATCTACCTGACCCTGCCCTCCATGCAGCAATGATCATTGTTAATAGTAGATGCCCTCACCCCCCACCCACTTACAACAATGACAAAAACAGGAAATACCAAGTGTTGATAAGGATGCAGATACATTGGAATCCTGTGCACTGCTAATGGGAATGTGAATGGTGCAGCCACTGCTGGGTACTGTATGGTGGCATCTCTATGTGACTCATGTTTGTAATTTCCTAATGACTCCTGATATTGAGCATCTCTTCAATAGATGCTCATTGGCCATTTGTATATCTTCTTTAGAGAAATGTCTTCAAAATCTTGGCCCATTTTAAAATTGGGTTACTTATCTCTTTATTAGGTTGTAAAGTTCTTTGTGTTCTGGATACAAGATCCTTATCAGATACACTATTTATATGTATATTTTCCTTCCATTCTGTGGGTTGCCTTTATACTTTCCTGCCAGTGTCCTTTGAAGCATATACCGTAGTTGTTCATTTTGACAACGTCCATCTTATTAATATTCTCTTTTATTGCTGTGCTTTTGGTGTGTACCTAAGAATCCAGGTCATGAAGACTTATTTATCTCTATATTTTCTCCTGAGTCTTATCACTTTCATTCTTTTTAAAATATGTTTTTATTGGTTTCAGAGAGGAAAGGAGAGGAAGAGATGGAACATCCATAATGAGAGAGAAGCACTGATTGGCTGCCTCCTGCACACCCTTTTCTGGGGATTGAGCCCATAACCCAGGCATGTGCTCTGACTGGGAATCGAACTGTGACCTCTGGTTCATGGGTCAACACTCAACCACTGAGCCATGCCAGCCAGGCCATTTTCATTCTTATCCTTAGTTCTGTTATCTTTATCTTATGATCTTAACTCTGCTCTGAGTTAATTCTTGTGTATGGTGTGAAATGGGGACCAAATTCTTTCCTTTGGTGTATCTGTCCACTTGTGCTGGCACCATTTGTTGAAATCATTGTTCTTTTCCCATTGAATTGTTGGGCCTTTTGTAAAAAAAAATCGGCCATACATATATGGGTTTATTTTCAGAATCTCAAATAGATTTTATTGAACTACATCTTTATCTCTATCCTTATGCCAGTACCATAGTGTCTTGATTATCCTTACTTTGTAGTGAGTTCTAAAATTTAAAAACATGAGTAGTACCACTGTTCTTTTAAAAAAAAAATGTTTTTTGTTTGTTTGTTTTTAGAGAGAGGAAGGGAGAGGGAGAAATAGAAACATCATTGATGAGAGAGAATCATTGATCAGCTGCCTCCTGCATGCCCTACACTGGGGATGAAGCCTACAACCAAGGCTTCTGACTGAGAGTCGAACTGTGACCACTTGGTTCATGGGTTGATGCTCAACCACTGAGCAATACTGGTGAGGCCAACTCTGTTATTTTTCAATATTCTGGATCTCATGTGTTTCCACAAGATATTTTAAACTTGTCAATTTTGGGGAGCGAGGGTGGAGAAAGCCAGCTGTGTGTTTGATATGAATTAAGTGTATAAATCAGTTTGCTATCCTGGACAGGTTATCTTCTTCACATGCAACTCATGCACAAGGGATTCTTCACATGGATTTAGCTCTTCTTCAATGTATCTCAATAGCATTAGGTAGTTCTCAATGTATAATTCTTGCACATTTTAAAAATTTGTTCCTTTTTTTGGTGCTGTTGTATATGAATTGTTGTTGTAAATGGAATTATTTTTCTTCATTTCATTTTTGGCTTGTTTATTACTAATATATGAAAATATTGATTTTTTAAAATTTATTTTAGAGAGGAAGGGAGAGGGAGAGAGAGAAAAAAGCATAGATGTGCGAGAGAAACATTGATCAGTTGCCTCCCACATGCAACCAGACTGGAGATTGAACCCACAACCTGGGTATGTGTGCTGACCAGAAATCAAACCATGACAGTTCAGTGCATGGGCCAAACAACTGAGCCACGCTGCCCAGGGCTACAGTTGAAATTTATATGTTGATTTTGTTTCTAACAACCTTCTCAAAACTGGTATTAGTTCTAATAGTTTCTGTAGTGGATTCCTTTGGAATATCTATATACAAGATCATGCCCTCTGTACATAGGTCGTTTTACTTTCACGTTTAACTGTTTATCCTTTGCAGTGTACTCATTCTTCTTGCTCATCTTCATTTCCATCTGAGTATCACCTTTGGCCCCAAGGACTTCCTCTTGTGTTTCCTGTAGAGCAGGTGTGCTGGACTTCATTTCCCAGGCTTTGATTGTTTGAGGATGTTTTCCTTTAGCCTCATCTCTGAAGAACATTTCTACAGAATAAGAACTTCAGTGTTCCGTATTTCCTCCAGCACTTTAAACATGCTATTCTATTGTCCTTTGGCTTCTTCCATGGTTTCTGTTGAGAAATTGGGTGTCCATACTCTTGTTGTTCCCTGAAATATAATGTTTTGATTTTTTTTTCCCCTTTCTCTGTAGTGCACAGCAAAGACATGCTGTCCAAGGTTTTTCTAGCTGGAGTTTCTTTACCCTGCTTAGGGCTCACTGAGATTTTTTATTTTTGTATTGATTTCTTTTTTCATCAGACTTAAAAATTCTTGACCATTTTTCTTTAAAAAGTGCTTCTTCTTACCCTCTCTCTCTCTGATTCTCAGATCATATGTGTTGGGCCCTTTGACCATGACCACATCCTCTTGTATAGAGGGATAGGCCAAGTATCCAAGTGCTTGACTCCTACTTCCCACCCAGTACCCGGGTGTCCCCGCAGGGAGACTGGCATCCCTGGGTTAGCCTGTCCTCCCTGCTTCTGCCCCTGTTGGTTCCCAGCAGACTTTGTCCTTGTTTGGGAGGAAGACCTGAGGCTGGGTCAGCAGCAGGACAGTGCCACTCAGGACAAGAGACGCACACACATGGCCTGGCGGGAGACCTTCCTGGAGAACCTTCGTACAGCTGGCCTGCAGGTGGACCAGGTACGGGGGTTGGTTGTGGGCAGGGCCCTAGGCACTGCATCCACTAGGCTTGGGGCATGACAACAAATCAAGCCCAGAGTTGTACTGGATGGCCCTCCCCTCAGGTAAAACATCAACCCATCGTAGCACACAAGCTCTCTCACAGAAGCCAGAGTCCTTCAGATTCACCAGAAAACTCAGGAGCCACCTTCTCCATTCGCCTGTCTCACCTCCAACATTAGGGCTTCTGTCTAGGGGTGGGACATTTGTGTGCTTAAAGGTATGCATCAGGCCTTTCACAGGTATGTCAGTTACAGTAGTTGGTCCCACTTCAGTTGCGGGGAGTATGAGAAAGCAGGAAGGAGCTGTGTGGTGCTGGCGTGCAGTGGGGGCAGGCAGGCAGTGAGGGGGGCTTGGAGCAGTGGGGATTGGAGTGCAGAACTCTGGTTCCATCGCATCACTGACCCCATGCCAGGTCCCTCTGCATGTCTCCTACATTGTCTGACTTGCTTTCTAACCCCAAGAGCAGACTCTGCTGCCCAGTGTCTGTCTTCCCCAGCCCCAGAGGGAAGCTTCATGCTAACCTCATTCTTGTGTGTCTTTACCATTTGAGCACATTTCATGTTGATAAACAGTACAGCTCTGTTTCTATTTGAACTTGGTGAGATGGAGCTGTGCTCAGTGGGACTCTTCCTGACGTCGTGCCTTTAAGACCCGCCTGCGTCATGGGTGCAGTGGCGGCCAGGCCTCGGCCGAGCACCTGCTGGTGACTGCTGTGCTGATTACTGCCTGGGTCAGGGAGCAGGGCTGCCTGGGTCAGGGAGCAGGGCTGCCTGGGTCAGGGAGCAGGGCTGCCTGGGTCAGGGAGCAGGGCTGCCTGGGTCAGGGAGCAGGGCTGCTTGGGCAGTACTCTGAGCTCAGGCCGTGGGAGGGTTTGATCGTCACAGGGGTATGGCTGGCATTGGCCCTAATAGCTTGGTGTCCTCTGTCTGTCGCTGATTGCCTGATCTCCAGAGAGGGGCAGGCACCCTGTGCTTGGCTTTCAGAGGCGGTGTCACTTACCAAATAGGTTTAAAGCCATGGCTAGTTTGTTGTTAACATGGCTACAGAAACACCTGCCTTTTCCTAAACGTGTGAATGGACACACACACACGGGCACACCCTGCACATGTATGCATGTGTGTGTGTGTCTGTGTAGAAACAGTCACATGTATGCATGCATGCACACACATTGTGTACAAATATTTATCCGCGTGTGCACCCACACAAGCACACACTTGTGTGTACATGTGTACGTGTATGCACTCTGCAAACATGTACACAGCACACACTCAGGCTCTGACAGAGCCCCGGTCCCCACAGCATCTTGTCCAGGATGAGCACTGCAGAGTGCACTACATCCTCCTCAGCGCCCCCTGGGCCGTGCTCTGCTACTACGCGGAAGACCTTCGCCTGAAGCTGCCCCTGCAGGTACCTGGAGTGCATGACATTCAGAGAAGGCCTGGAGGTGCCCCCAAGCCAGGGTTAATCATGACTGCACCCCATGTGCTGGGTGCAGTGTCCATTGCTGACAACCTGAGGCTCCCCATTTTGTCCTCAAAGATCCCTCATAGCTGCCATCACACTCCAGGAAGCCTTATTAGGCAGACAGGGTGGGGCGGTCAGACCCCACAACCATGGATGCTCTGGGGGGGAGGCGTGTGTGCAGCAACCATGGCCTAGTCTGACCACCTGAGCCCGCCTGCTCCCGACCTCCACCAGGCTGTCCGTTGAGGACCACTGCAGGAGGGGGAGAATAGACTGGGGACACAGTGTGGAGAGGCAGCGGTGACCTCCGGATGATGTGCCTGGGGGCTGCTCTGCCACCTACTCTGGCTCCCTTTGACCATGATGGCATTTGGTAGACAAAGGGACACGTGACTGTCTAACCCTCCCTGCCTTGAAATCTGGGCCTCGGCTGGACCAGCTGAGTCCCCCAGCACCAGGCCTGAGACAGGAAGGGGCTTGCCCATTCCCTGGCTGAGCCCTTTCGCTGTTGCTCAGTTTGCAAATCTACACACCTCATCCCGCCACGTGGCATCGTGCCCAGGGGTGGGAGGAACAAGCGATGATCCTTTCCAGGAGCTGCCCAATCAGGCCAGCAACTGGTCGGCCAGCCTGCTGCGGTGGCTGGGCATCCCCAACATCCTGCTGGAGGACGTGCCCGATCTGCCCCCCGAGTATTACTCCTGCCAGTTCAAAGTGAGCAAGTTGTCGAGGTAAGAGACGGTGGCCCGGCCGTGCCCGCGGGACAGCTTCACACGGTGGCCAGGGCTGGGGGACACAGCCAGGGAAGCGTGCGTGAGAGGTCAACGAGCGACAGTGCTAAACCTCCACGCGTTCCCAAACCTTCTCCTTTTTGGAGCTTTTTAACCAGGGAGCGTGAGTGGCGGCTGGGCCACCTCAGTCAGGACAGGCAGGCTGTGCTGCGGACAAATGTTCCCCAAACCCCAGCTGCTGGACACACGGCCCGTTCCCTACTCAATGACACGTCCATGGTGGGTGGCAGGGTCTGGAGGGCCTCCCCTCGCAAACGAGGCGGAAGATGGTCGTGGTCAGTCCACACTGGCTGCTGGTGGCACCTCTCCTGTGTGCGTGTCACAGGGCACACCTACATGTGGTGCTCCGGTGCCCAGGGAAGCCATGGCGCTCCTTGTGAGTCTGGGGCTCCCACACTGCCCTGCCCTCTGCCAACCACTGTCCCGGGTGGAGGATTTCTGTGACTTCTGGACAATGCCCTGTGACCTCCTGCCTCCAGAAAGGAAAAGACAATATTGGGACTTGATCCTGCGTGGGGGGGGAGGGGGGAGGAGTGAGGGGGTGGAAAGGGGATGGTGGCTGTTCCCCAGTGTGCAAGGAGAAAGCCTGAGCATGGTGTGTGTGTGTGTGTGTGTGTGTGTGTGTGTGTGTGTGTCTGCCTTTGTGAACTCTACTGCACTTCTCACATGCCCACAGGTTCCTCAGGAGTGACAACCAGGACACCTTCTTCTCCTGCACCCACAGGCACCAGATCGTGAGTGGGAGTCCCCAAACCCTGACCCGGCTCAGAGGAGCCTGAGGTCTGGACACAGGAAAGCTCTGCTGTGATGAGAGCACTGAGGCCAGGGCGGGGGGCTGGAGACTTAGGGGTGCCCCCTCATCGAATTCAGGTGGGCCTTGTCAGTGCCCCCACGGGAGCCCCAGGGCTCAGAATGGATATCTGGTTATGGACTTGTGGGACAGACAGCCACGGCTACTGACCCAGGTGGGTGTGGGACCTGCTGGTCAGTGAGGAAGAGAGCCGAGGGTCAGAGTATCGAGCCTGAGAAGGGTGGGCTGAGCCAGGCCCCTCCAGGGTCTGTGACAGGAAGAGGCTTTGGACGGGTCTGCCTAGGGCCGCCCCCTGCTGGCCACCAAGAGGCAGAGCCCATGCCTGACACAGCTGTCCAACTGGAGGCTGGCCCTGCCCAGAGCAGGGTCCAGGGCTGGCTGTGCACAGTCAGGACCTGGGGTCAAATCCAAGCCTGACTCCTGTGTGCCCACAATTCTGGCCCAGGTCTTGTGATTGTTCAGTAGAGAATGATCGTCCCCCCTCAGGGGTATGAGCCGGCAGCAGGAGGAAGATCTGAGTGTACAAAGTATTCTCCTCATTTGACGCCAGAGGCTGTGGGGGGCTGTCTGTGGGCTCAGCCTTGAGATGGGAGGGCCAGGATGCCCCTGCCCTGCCATCACATGGCAGGCGACCAGTGCCCTCTCCCCACCACCCCCAGCTGTTTGAGATCCTGGCCAAGACCCCATACGGCGATGACAAGAAAGGTCTGTTTGGAATCGAGCAGCTGCTGTCCCAGGGCGTGTTCAGGGCGGCCTTCCCCCTGCACGAGGTGAGACCTGGGAGCTGGAGAGGCTGTGGTGGGGGTCTCGGACCCGGGCATGGGGCGAGTTCCTAGACCAGGGGGTCTTGCTGTCACCTGAGGGGGCAGCTGTTGCCAGGCAGGCAACTGCAATGTGACCAGGCCATGCTGCTGTTCAAGGCCCTCTCAGTACATGGCACGCCCAACAGCCCCATCTCATGGGGAAGACAGTGAGGTCCCCTGTGCTCCCCAAATCTGAGTAAACTGAACACAAAGGAGCGCTCACCATCGTCCTGACAAAATGTTCACTGTGGTCTGGAGGCTGTTTATGTCCCTCACCCTCGCAGCTGCCCACAAACACCCCCACAGCTGCCCACCAAATCCAGAGCTGCAGGAAGGGGCAGCAGGGTGGAGGGCAGGGTCAGGCCTGCAGCTCTGTGTGAGGTACCGAAGGGCCACTGAGGGAGGACACGCAGCGAAATGGCCAGCTCCACGTTGGTTTGGGGCATCCCTCTTCCCACCTCTGGCCAGAGCACAGGACGCACAGCGCCTGGCACAGCGGCCTCGCTTGCCCGGTGCCCGGGGGACAGCACAGCCCCCGGCTGCAGAAGCCCACCCAGAGATGCCAATCCATCCTAGACCACAGCTGCAGCTCCTCCTGGACGCAGACTGCGGGGTTCCCAGGAGGCCTAGGTGCCCCTCCCAGAGAGGCCTTCCTAGACTCCCCCCCCCCCCCCCGCGACCCCCGGGACCCAAACATAACTGTTGTCCTCGAGCAGCAACCCTGCATCCGGGACGCCGGGCAGGTGGCCTTGCCCAGCGCTGAAGGCCCACACTTAGAATAGCACCGAAACTGGTTTGGCTCAGTGGATAGAGCGTCGGCCTGCGGACTGAAAGGTCCCGGGTTCGATTCAGGTCAAGGGCAAGTACCTTGGTTGCGAGCACATCCCCAGTAGAGGGTGTGCAAGAGGCAGCTGATCGATGATTCTCTCTCATCGATGTTTCTAACTCTCTATCCCTCTCTCTTCCTCTCTGTAAAAAAATCAATAAAAATATATATTAAAAAAAAATAGAATAAGGCCCAGTAAGATGCTCAGAGCAGCCTGAATCCCGACCACTGGCTTCTGGTCCCCAGGGCCCCTTCACTACACCCCCTGAGGGCCTGAGGGCCCCTGGCCTCAACCAGCGGCAGGTCCTGTTCCAGTACTGGGCCCGCTGGGGCAAGTGGCACAAGTACCAGCCTCTGGACCACGTGCGCAGGTACTTCGGGGAGAAGGTGGCCCTCTACTTCGCCTGGCTGGGTAAGTCCCGCCCACTGCCCCTCAGGGCCTCCTGGGCCCCCGACTTCGGTCTTCAGGGTAATAATCTCCAAAAGGGGAGCAAGCACAGGGGCTGGGCTGCCAGCATGCTGATCCCTCCTAGGCCAACACAGCCACTGGCCCAGGACGCTCTTAACACCCCAGTGAAGGGCTGGGAACCCCCTCCTGCAGGTGGGCCTCCCCACTTCAGCCTCCAGACCCCGCCCATGAAGTCCAGTCATGTGGTGGGGGCTGCACAGCCCAGGACAGAGGTTAGGACAAAGGGGCTGGAGGGTGGGGGGACCTCTGAGGACCATCTCCCCGACAACTGCCTCCCAGATGGCCTCAAACTCTGCTGGTTGGATGTGGGTCTCTGGGGGACAACTGCGTCTGTGCAGACCCCCGCCTGGCACTCAGCCCAGCGCTGGGTGCACAGGCCCATCATGGTTGCTGACAGCTGGCTCCTGGGGCCCCTACCTGGCTCCCCTCTGCAGGGTTCTACACAGGCTGGCTCCTGCCAGCGGCCGTGGTGGGCACGCTGGTATTCCTGGTGGGCTGTTTCATGGTATTCTCAGACACACCCACGTAAGTGCCCTCTCCCCTCAGCTCCCAGGCCTCACCCTGTGTCTCCGGGGAAGGGGGGGGGGGCACATGCCCTGTGCAGAGTTGAGGATGGAGGTGACCATGAACAGCTCCCTGCCTTCATGGATGTCAGAGGGCCCAATGGATCTGGCTGGAAGGATGACAGGTAGATAGGAGTGCTCCAGAATGACCGTTGGACAGGTGTGGCCTCAGGCTGACACAGGTGGACAGGTGTGTTCCCACACTGATAGGTGTGCCCTAGAATGACACACGTAGACAGGTGTGTTTCCAGACTAATTATGTTGGTGCCCTTGTTTCTTGGAATAGTGTACGCTTTTCTTTTAATAAACAAAAGACGGGGCTTGAATTTTGCTTTATTATGGAGGTGAAATTGCAAAAAGTTATCTCAAAAATGATGGTTGCCTCATTTTAAAGGAATGCTGGACCTGGCCATGGCAGTGGCGGGAGAAGAGGGCAGGGGGCAGACCTGGTGGGAAGGGGGCCCCAGGCTCTAGCACCCGCTTCCACTCCGAAGGCAGGAGCTGTGCAGCAGCGCCGAGAGCTTCCAGATGTGCCCACTCTGTCTCACCTGCCCCTTCTGGCTGCTGTCCAGCACCTGCGCCCTGGCCCAGGTACGGGGAAGGTGGGCGAAGGGAGGAAGAGAGCTCCGTCTGCACCTGGTGTGGGGCTGTGACTGGTGCCCCCCTTGGCGGAGTGCCTGCGACAGTCGGTGGCCATAGGTGGGCCCTTGCTGTTATTGCTGCTATTGTCTGTCACTGACCAAGGTGAGCCAGGGGGCCCCACGGCTGAGCAGAGCCCCCAGCCTGAGAGGTGGGGGCAGGTAGCTCCTCGGAGTCCCTGCGCCCGGGGGCCCCCACAGCGCCCAGCACACTGTGGGTGCTGTAGTTCCTCTCTGGCCTCACCCGCAGCCCCCACACACCGGCTTGGTGCCCTTGGTGCACTGCTGGGCCCCAGACCAGACACACCTTCGACACACACCTCGGCGTCCGTCTGTATCGTTTCCTAGGGCTGCTCCAACAAAGTCCTGCTCTTGAAACAACACGAATTCTTTTCCCTCAGCTCAGAGGTCAGAAGTCCAAACTCCGGGTGTTAGCAAGGCTGCCTCCTCCGGGGGACTGTTCCCTGCCTTGCTCCTACTTCTGGTGGCTGCACCACCCCAATTTCCACCTCCATATTCCCGTGGCCTTTCCCTGTGGGCACGTGTGTCTATCCCCCTTCCCTTCTGTCATAAGGATTTGTCGCAGGGCCCAGGGGCCCCTAAACCGGGGTACTTCCATGTAGAGACTTCCACCTTAATCACACATACACAGGCCCTTGTTCCAAATAAGCTTATCTCCTTAGGTTCCAGGGGGGGAGCCACAATCCAACCCCCTACAGTCCACCCTCTGGCCCCCCAAACTTCAGGTTCACCCCATGTGCAAAGGACACATCCCCAAAGTTCTAAACTCATCACAGCGTTAACTCCGAAAAGCTCCCAAATATCAACAGCTCAGGAAGTGCAGAATCCCACCTGCATCACCTAAGGCGCTATGGGGGAGACTCAGGTGTGGCCCTCCTAGAGCAACATCCCACTTGCCTGCTGCCCCACGCCGGGAAACAAGCCACCTGCTTCCAAAATACAACCCATTGCTCCAGGGGGGAAACTGAGGCACGGGGGGCCAGCAGCGGGAGCAGGTGTGAGCCCCGCGCCCCGCCCGCAGGCCGGCCGGCTCTTCGACCACGGCGGCACCGTCTTCTTCAGCGTGTTCGTGGCGCTGTGGGCCGTGCTGCTCCTGGAGTACTGGAAGCGGAAGAGCGCCACGCTGGCCTACCGCTGGGGCTGCTTCGACTACGAGGACATCGAGGTGGGTCGGTCCCCAGACCGTGGCCACCACACTGCCCTCGAGGCCGCCACTGAGCACTGGCTCCCTTCCAGGAGAGGCCACGGCCCCAGTTTGCCGCCTCGGCCCCCACGACTGCCCCGAACCCCATCACCGGCAAGGAGGAGCCCTACTTCTCCAAGAGGAGCCGCACGCGTCGCATGCTGGCCAGCTCCGTGCTGGTGCTGATGATGGTGAGGTCCCGCCACCCTCCCCTCCCCATCACGCCCCTTCCTCCTGAGCTGCTCGGGGCAGCTGTGGCCCCTCCTCCTCCTGGGACCCACGAGGCACTTGCTGCGGCAGAAAGGCCCTCGGGTCCTGAGCTCCAGGGAAGGGGCCAAGCTCAGGGCCAGGCCAGGGGGTCTGGGCTGTAAGCTGTGAGTGTGTGTGGGCAGGGACTCCCGGAATGCTTCCCCGCAGATGTGGGCTTGGGGCATCCTTCAAGCATGGGGGGATCCCGGCAGGGGGAGGTCCTCCAGCCAAAGGGGCTTCCTGGCTTGACCCTCCCTTCCCATCCCCTTTCAAGATGGCAGGAATTCCCAAGTTCTGGTCGGTGGAAGAGCAGGGGCGGGGGACCTGGGACCAAGAACAGTGCACCGTGGCTCCCTTGACACCCAGATATCGCCCACCTGTAATTCTAAATGGCCTCCCAGCCCCCCATCCTGCCTTCCTGTGCCTCTAACACCCACTGAAGAAGCACGGAGCACAGCCAGGCCTACAGGTGGGGCGGTGGCCCGAGGGCGCTGGAGTCCCAGGCCTCGGCATGGGGCTCACGCACTTGGTCCCCACAGGTGGCCGTGGTGGTCATAGGCCTCATGTCCATCATCCTGTACCGCGCCATCATGGCCATCCTGGTGTCCAGGTTGAACAACACCCTCCTGGCAGCCTGGGTGAGCCTCCACTGCCTGCTCCTGCTGGGGGGGGGGGGTGGCTCGGGACCACCCCCAGCGCCAGCTCTGATCCACCACCTGCCACCAGGCTTCTCGCATCGCCAGCCTCTCGGGCTCCGTGGTGAACCTGTTCTTCATCCTTGTCCTCTCCAAGGTCTATGTGGCTTTGGCCCACATCCTGACAAGATGGGGTGAGTGGCCCAGGCTGAGTGCCCACTCAGGGCCATGCCAGCCCTGCTGCCCGAGTCGGAACACACTTCCTTGCAGATCACAGGGCCCTCAAAGCCTGAATTAGCACAGATGGGATGTGAGACCCACCCCCGACTGTGCACAGTGCCTGGGGGTGGAGACAAGAGGGTCCTCTGGGGCACCCAGGCCTTGCCCTGCATCTGGGTGCCCTCCACCCCGCGCACAGGACCGTTCGAAGCGGAGCTCCCCTGGGGCAGGCTGCCCAGCCCAGGCCTCCCTGTGTGCCCTGCTTTCTCAGTGTCTGAGAGAAAACTACCTCTGTCAGAGTAACCTCCTTCCTTCTCCCCCTCTGCCCGCCCCACTGCCTACCTCTCCCCCACTTTCTTTGCTCTCCCATCTCCTAAAGACAAACACCAGTGAACCAATTCATTCCTTCCACACATTGCCTGTTAGCAGCCCTGGTCCAGGGGTGGGACAGAGAGCTCAGTGTCCCCCTGGGGGGAGCTTTGGGTGGGCAGGTGTCCAGGGAGCCTCCACAGTGTTCCTGCAACAGCAGGGCCATGTGCACCCCGTTTCCGGCCTCAGGTATCCCCTCCAATTCACCTTTTATGCCCCGACCTCTGTCTCAGCAACGGCTTTCCAGGCACAGTCACCCCAGCCTCAGACTGTCACTCACTCAGCCTCTGGCTACTCCTTGTGCCCTGCCATTTCACCCTCAGCACTGCTGTGGTCTAGTCACCTGCCAGCTCTTCCTCTACGAACGTAGCGTTTTTAGAGGGTTTGGGGATTAGAACTTGAGGAAAGCTGCACTTTGCCCCCTTCCTGAGTGAATGTCTGTTCGATGCGGCTTCCCTCACTCCCTCCGTGGGTGAGGTGGCTCCAGGGCTGGGCTGGGGGGGACTGAGCCGGCCTCTCTGCCCAGAAATGCACCGGACACAGACCCAGTTCGAGGACGCCTTCACCCTCAAGGTGTTCATCTTCCAGTTCGTCAACTTCTATTCCTCGCCCATCTACATCGCCTTCTTCAAGGGCAGGTGAGTGCCGCTTCCCCTGGCCTCACCTCCCCTGGGCCCTGCTCCTGCACTGCCTCAACCCATGTGGCCCCAGAGGCTCAGGGAGGGTGGGCATGACAGTCCAGGAGGCCTGGTGGGGACAGCGGCTGTCCTGGCTCAGGACCTCAAAGCAAAGCTGGGCTCCAGGTTCACCTGCAGGTCCGGTGTCTGCAGCAAGGGAGATAGTGTGTGTGTGTGGTGGGGGGGCAGCTGATGGCACCTCCTCACTTGCGGCCTCTGGACCTCCATTTCCTCTAGGTTTGTGGGGTACCCGGGCAACTACCACACTTTGTTGGGGGTTCGCAACGAGGAGGTAAGTGTGCAGGGACTGACACCCACAGGTCCTGCCCCCTAACCTCCATCAGAATGTTAGTTTGCAGGGATTCTTTCTGACCCCTGCCCCTCACAGTCACAACTGCCCCGGGACCCCCACAGCAGGCTCCTCCTAGCATTCTGACTCCCACCTGGAACAGCGCCCACAAAACACCGTCGTGTCCTCACGTGTCACTCTTTTCCCACTCTGACCTGATGCACAAGTCACAGGTCAGGCCAGAGCGGGGAAAGGCTGACGCTTTCACTGCCCAAAGCTCCGCTGGGAACACAGGCTGGTGACTCTCACAGGGCGCAGAGCCCACTGTGGGCGCCTGGGCTTGCCCCTGCCCACCCCTCAGAGACACTGAAGAAAGCCCCTGAGGTCCCCTTGCCGAGGGCACACTGGGTGGAGCTGGGACAGTGACAGGTGGTCTCTGAGCCAGGGCGGCCGGGCTCCAGCTGCTCCGCTGAGTGCCTCACCTGGAGGACCCTCTCCTCTCTGACCCAAGGGCTCCCTCCTTTCCAGGGGTCTGGGCTGTGGCCCAACCCACTGCCTGCCAAGGGCCAACCCCGAGGAATACTCTATTCTCTCATGATAGGGGAGGGGCTTTTCAGGGACTGGGCAGCTGGGCCCCAACTCAGGGGGGTTTTGGTCATCAGGGGGAAAGTTCCCAGCTCACACTGGCTTCACAGAAACAGAGTTCCTTTCCCGTTGGCTCCTATAATGATGCTGGCCAGGCCCCGGGGGCTCAGGTGGGGCTGGGTGCAGGCGTCTGAACAATGCTGCCCTGCTTCCCTAGCACTGGCTTTGTGCTCCCTCAGGTTCTCCCAACCCCTGGGGGAGCCAACATCCCAACAGCACAGGCCTATGCCCTCTTGCTTGCTAACCCTGTGCAAGTATGCTGTCTCAGGAGCTCCCCCTAAAATCCCTGGGTGCACCTCTCCCTGGCTGGGATTGCTGAGGCTACATAGTGGGTCCTCCCTGGAGCCACAGGGCCAGCATCAGCTTCACGCCATGTGGGTCTCCAGAGGAAAACTGGGGTGCCATGCACCAGTGGGCCTGGTCATTCGCATGCACTGTCCAGCAGGTGGACCTTGGGGAGACAGTGGGGACTTGGGTGAGGTCTGAGGGTGGGTCTGTGCAACCCATGGCATGTGTGAAGAGGAGGAGGGACATAGCAAGGGCCACCTTGCAGGGTTAGAGGAGGATGGTTGGGGAGGGAACCCCCTCCCCTGCACTAACCTGGAGCTTGGCTGTGCAGTGTGCGGCAGGAGGCTGTCTCATCGAGCTGGCACAGGAGCTCCTAGTAATCATGGTGGGCAAGCAAATCATCAATAACGTGCAGGAGATTCTCGTCCCGTGAGTCCCCCACTTGCCCTGGGCAGCATCCAGGGGCCCTGGGACTGGGACTGTCTTGGGCAGTAGCACCAGCCCAGTCCCAACCGGGAAAAGAGGTGGAGGGAAGCCAGGGGGTCCCCTCCTGGACCTGGCAATTGCACCTGCAGGGGAGAGGAGGGTCCGCCCTGCCATCTGCCCCAGGGGCTCTGTGACACCCGCACCCTGTGGTTGCTGTGTCAGCACATTGAGTTCTTTGGTCCTGGCCAGCTTTCTTGAGGGAGGAGACCATCCTTTCTGTAGCCTCTGTGGCCAGGACACTCTGCAGCACCCCCTGCCAAGGCAGCACCAGAGGGGGCATCCAGGGGAGGCCCCCAGCCTCAGGTTTCCTGCCACTAGGGTCCTTTCTCCCCAATGCCACCTCCACTGGCATCACTGTGGCTCCCATCCAAGCATTGGGACACCCTCCCAGGCAAGAGCCCTTGCAATGACTGCCCAAGGCTGGACCCAACCTGGACATCTTGCCATCTCTCCTGCACACCTGATCTCCCACAGACAGCATGGACTCCCCTGGGCCCCTCGAGCTGTAGCTATGGGACCTTGGCCAACCCATGCCTCTCTTTGGGTGCAGTCAGTTCTATCGGCTGAATTCTAGGAAATCATGAGTTTGGGGTGTGGGGTGTAGTTGGTGCCTGAAGGGGCTGGATGAGTGCTGACAAAGCCACATACACCTATTCCCCTGCCTATGACAAAGTAACAAGCACACATGCCCCCATTCACACAGTGATTTCCTCATCTGCTCACTTCCACCTTGACGTACCTCTGGCACCTCTTTGCATGTCCCAGGAGGAATCCATCCTCCCCAAAGCTTCCATGAACAATGGGGTACTACAGGGGAGCTGGGGGGGGGGGGCTACCCCCATAAGGAGGCAGATACTCTTTAAAAAATATATATATTTTATTGATTTTTTACAGAGAGGAAGAGAGAGGGAGAGAGTTAGAAACATCGATGAGAGAGAAACATTGATCAGCTGCCTCTTGCACACCCTCTACTGGGTATGTGCCTGCAACCAAGGTATATGCCCTTGACCGGAATTGAACCTGGGACCTTTCAGTCCGCAGGCTGACGCTCTATCCACTGAGCCAAACCGGTTTCGGCAGGAGGCAGATACTCTTGAGGGTTTGGTAAGGCCTGGCCAGCCTGCTATGCTGGTCCCAGGGTCCAGACCTGCCCCTGCTGCCTTCAAACTGCAGAGCAAGCAGCGGGAGGAGCAAAAGCTATTTCCCTGCGTGTTTCCACTTCTAGGAAGCTCAAGGGCTGGTGGCTGAAGTTCCGGCTTCGCTCCAAGAAGAGGAAGGTGGTGGCTTCAGCCGCTGCCAGCCAGACGCCCTGGGAGGCAGACTATGAGCTCTTGCCCTGTGAGGGCCTATTTGATGAGTACCTCAAAATGGGTAGGTGCCCCTGGGGGCCTCCAGCCTCAGCATTCCTCTGTCTCCCTTGAAACATGATGTGGGTGGGGACAGAGGGTCCCTAGTGTAGCCAAGCCTACAAAGGATCCAGAAAGGACTTGTGGATCTCAGTGGGGAGTACCCAAGAAGGGCAGGCTGAAGATGGGAAGGGACAGCACCCTGGGCACAGAGGTTTGCAAAGAGGACTGGGGGCAGTTGATGGGGCTCTCCTGGAGTGGCCTTAATCCCCAACCCCAGTAGGCATCTGCTTGAGCCTCCTGTAGGAGCTAGGGAGGAAGATGGGTGCTCAGGAGACCAGACACTAGGGATGGGAACAACTGCCCCGAGAGTAAGGCTGCCCCTGGGAGGCGACAGGCCTCAGATCCCCTGACCAATGGAATCTCCCATATGGGAGTTGATTCCAGAACTTTTCTTTCTTTTCTTTTCTTTTCTTTTTTTTTAATACTGTATATAATATATTTTTTTTATTGATTTCAGAGAGGAAGGGAGAGGGAGAAAAACATCAATGATGAGAATCATTGATTGGCTGCCTCCTGCACGCCCCCTTCTGGGGATTGAGCCTGCAACCCAGGAATATGCCCTTGTCCGGATTCGAACCCAGGACCCCTCAGTCCACAGGCTGATGCTATATCCACTGAGCCAAACCAGCTAGGGCTAGAACTTTTCTTGATGTCCACATTCTTTCCTAGACCCTCAACTGTGCCCTGGCCAGGTGGTGGCCCGTGATTGTACTCATTCCCTGCACTGTGTGGTGCACTTTTTGGGGACAGGATGTTTGTCCCAGCAGCCCAAGGTCTTACTCTGAGATCATGGCCGCGTGTAATGGAAAGTGTTGCATCTGAGTCAACACATCACTGAACTTCTGGCAGCCAAAGCAAAAGGGGTGATAGTAGTTGCATTGGTCCCTCGTAAGAGGGAGCAGACAGTTCATATGCTTTTTCATGATAGTGTGAGTGGGGTTGACTTATGTGGCCCTAGGCCACTGGACAGCTGGCAATGGGACCAAAGCTCTTAGTATTTTACAGAGGAACCAGCTGCTCCCTGAGAGGGGCAAATGGAGAAGGCAGGCCTAAAATCTCCCTTTCCTGCCAGAAGCCCACAGGGCAGGCCAAGCCGAGGAGGAGAGAGAATCCCAGACCTCAGGGAGCCCCAGGAGACCCATGCCCCTCGGACAGTTCTGTGGAGCAGTAGGGGCAGTCAGGGAGGCTGTCTGGGAGCAGGGGCCCTGGTGCTAAGCCTAGGAAATGAATCAGAGCAGAAGCAGGCGAGCGGGGACAGGGCCTGCGGTGACACCTGTGCCCACAGTGCTGCAGTTCGGCTTCGTCACCATCTTCGTGGCCGCTTGCCCGCTGGCTCCGCTCTTCGCGCTGCTCAACAACTGGGTGGAGATCCGCCTGGACGCGCGCAAGTTCGTGTGCGAGCGCCGGCGCCCAGTGGCCCAGCGCGCGCAGGGTGTGGGCATCTGGTTCCCCATCCTGACTGGCATCGCTCACCTGGCGGTCATCAGCAACGTGAGCGCTAGGTGGGGGGGAGGTAAAGGAGGTATGGGGCGGGGCTCCGAGGGGCGGGGCTCCATGGGGGCGGGGCTACATCTGGGTGGGGCTCTATGGGGCGGGGCTCCGCGGGGCGGGGCTCCGCGGGCTGAGTGGGTTCGGTTCACCTGGCCGCCGGCGCCCAGGCTGTGCTGCTGGCCTTCTCCTCCGAGTTCCTGCCGCGCACCTATTACCGCTGGACCCGCGCCGGTGACCTGCGCGGCTTCGTCAACTTCACACTGGCGCGCGCCCCGCCGGCCTTCACCGCCGCGCACAACCGCACGTGCAGGTGAGGCCGCCAGGTGAGGGGGGGCGGCACAGGGCTGAGGGCTGGCTGGAAGGGGAGGACCCAGGTTTGGAGGCCAAGCCTGAGGACCGGGCGACCAGAGAGCAGATGGGCCCGAGCCCTGCGCTTCCTCCTTAAACAAGCCACCGGCTGTAGGACTCTGGGGCACAGGGTGGGGACTGAGTACCCATCCTCCTCATCCCTCCAGGTAGAGAGCTGGGGGTCTGGGGCGGTTATAGGTGACACTCCAACAACCCCGGGTTGAATTTTTGGAAAATCTGAGTATATGACCCTTACAGTTAAACGTCGTGTTGTTCAAGGGTCAACTTATAGTTCCCTTAAAAAAAAAAAAAAAAAAATATATATATATATATATATATATATATATATATATATATATATATATATATATATATTTGATTTCAGAGAGGAAGGAAGAGGAAGACAGAGAGATAGAAACATCAATTATGAGAAAGAATCATTGGTTGACTGCCTCCTGTACCTCTCTCCACTGGGGGTTGAGCCGGCACCGCTGCCACCTGCTCTTGACCAGAATAGAACCCAGGACCCTTCAGTCTGCAGGCCACTACTCTACCACTGAGTCAAACCAGCTAGGGTTATAGTTCTCTTTTTTCTAGGTCATTTTCAGTCAATTTTGGTAGTTTTGTCTTGTTTTGTTTTTACAGAAAACTCAGCTAAGCTTTAAAAGTGACACAGCCCTGTGACTTACTTATTTTATAACTGGAAGTTTGTACCTCTTAATCCCCTTCATCTGTTTTACCCATCCTCCCACCCTCCTCTCCTTTAGTAGTTTGTTCTCTTAATCTGAGTCTGTTTTTGTTTTGTTTGTTTTGTTCTTTAGATCCCACAAATAAGTGAAATCATATGGCATTTGTCTTTCTCTGACTTATTTCACTTAGTATGATACCCTTGGATCCATCCATACAAAATCTGTTTGCTACTTAAAAACAAAGGTCGTTGCCTAACCAGTGTGGCTCAGTGGTTAAGTGTTGACCTATGAACCAAGAAGTCATGGTTCAAATCCTGGTCAGGGCACATGCCCAGATTGTAGGTTCAATTCCTGGTGTGGGGCATATAGTAGACAGCCCATCAATGATTCCCTCTCATCATTAATGTTTCTCTCTCCCTCTCCTTTCCTCTCTGAAATTAATTTTATATATATATATATATATATATATATATATATATATATATATATATTTATTTATTTAATGTAATTGATTCTGATTTAATTACTTGGAGGGCAGACAACCTGAAGAGTTGATATGTAAATCTCTCCCATTGTTGAGGCTTCTTCATGATCTGGTCACAATGGGTTTTGCATATATTTCAGGTGAACTTGAAAATATGTTTTTTCACTGTCAATTTTGGAGCAAGTTTCTTTATATACTAATAGGCCAGACTTCTTAACTTTATTGTTCAGATTTTCATCTTCCCCCCTTTCCCTTGCTTATTCTATCAGATTCTAATAGAGATGAATTAAAGCCTTTCAGTTTTTTCAGGTGGTTCTGTCAGGTTTTGCTTTATGTATTTTTAGTTTCTTAGTTGCATACAAGTTCATGTTGTGTGTGTTTTTTTAATATATTTTATTGATTTTTCACAGAGAGGAAATGAGAGGGATAGAGAGTTAGAAACGTCCATGAGAGAGAATCATCGACCAGCTGCCTCTTGCACACCCATTACTAGGCATGTGCCCACAACCAAGGTACATGCACTTGACCGGAATCAAACCCGGGACCTTTCAGTCCACAGGCCGACGCTCTATCCACTGAGCCAAACCGGTGCCGGCCAAGTTCATGTTTGTCATCTCTTTTTAGTGGATACTTTCTCCATTTATTATTATTTTTCTTTTAAAAAACATGTTTTCATTGATGTTAGAGAGAGAGGAAGGAAGAGGGAGACATAGAAACCTCAACAAGAGATGAGAAACATCATTGATAGGCTGTCTCTTGCATGCCCCCCTGCTGGGGACTGAGCCTGCAACCTGGGCATATGCCCTGAGCAGGAACCAAGCCAGCAATCTCTTGACATATGGGTCAGTGCTCAACCACTGAGCAATACCAGCTGGGCTTTCTCCATTTATTCTTTTTGCTTTTTATTCCTCTTCTACTTCCTGTTGAATTAGTGTTCTGTATTTTTTTTTTTCTCTCTTTACACTCATTTGGAACTGATTCTGTATATTTTTTATTTTTTATTATTTTAGGGACTACCCTTAAATTTTTAGCCTACAATCTTAATTATACATTTTTCTAACAAATCCTGAAGGAATTTATTTTTGTCTCATTTCCTTGTGTGTGACAAGGATCTTCATGTGCTTTACCACAACCTATTGAGCACCCACCAGTTCACCTTATTGTTATACAGTTTTAATTTTACTATTAAAAACACACAGAAACAGTTTTAGTCATTTGTTAATCACATCTATTTGGAGTATTAACTTATGTGGCTACAGTAGTGGGCCCAGGTTAGCCTAGTTGGGGAAGGGGATAACCCAGTTCCTCCTTCCTTTTGGGACCATAACAGTAAGAGCTAAACGTATGTCAGAGAACACTGCTTGAGCATATTTCCCTCTTCAGGCACCCTCCGTGGTACGTGTGCCCAGACTTTTAGCATCAGGGAGGCCAAAGGTGGAGATGCCGAAAAGTCATCTGCCCTGGTCCCCACACTGAGTCCCGTATTTCCTGCAGGTATCGGGCATTCAGGGAAGATGATGGGCATTATTCCGGGACTTACTGGAACCTTCTGGCTATCCGCCTGGCCTTTGTCATTGTGTTTGAGGTAGCTGGGGCCCTCTGTTGACTTCCCACTCTTGGCCATAGCATGATTCCCCTACCCTCTGGCTTTGCCTAATCTCACCATGTGGTTTGGGGGTGGGTGTCCAAAGGAATAGAGCCCTGGTCTTCCCACTCTGTCACTATGGTGGAATCACAGTTCCTCTCGGCATCATTTCCCCATCTGCAAAAGGGAGCAATCCCTGCCTAGCCTGTCACAGGGCTGTGTGGACATCAGAATGCTCCACGGGGCCACAGAAGCAGGGGTTGGTCTCTGGGGCCATGACATTGCTGCGTTTCAGTTCACCCACACCTGGGAAGCAGCTGTCCACACCTGAGCCCATGAAGGCCACTCTGGGCACTTGTTTTACCATTGGGTCGGGTGCCCTCCCTCACTGCTGGTCCTGTCCCCTGATGCCAGCATGTGGTGTTCTACATCGGCTGGGTTCTCAACCTCCTGGTACCTGACATCCCTGAGTCTGTGCAGATCAAGGTGAAGCGGGAGTACTACCTGGCCAAGCAGGCGCTGGCTGAGAACAAGGTGAGCCCTCACCCACAGCCCTCATGCACCCATTGTGGAGTGGCCCCAGCCAGGTACTTGCTGCCAAGTAGGCCGGGGTGCAGTCAGTTTAATCACACTCTCCTCCTCGACCACCCCTCCTGGACACAGGCTCTCTTGGGGACGAATGGAGCCAAGGACAACCAGCCCTCAGCCTCAGGAGAGTCTGGGCTCACAGCCTAGGCAACCAGAAGCCAGCTGGGCCTCGCCAGTCCCTTCCCTCTGAGGTCTCAGGAATCATGCTGGAGGCTGCGGGGCCTGGAATCAGACCCACCTGGAGTGCAGAGAACTCGCCCTGGAGATGTAGCCTCCACTGGCCACCTCTTTGGAGTACCCAAAGCCAGGCGACTATAGCAGGGGAACCTGGTGGGCTGGGGCATGTTCCACCATCTCCCTCCCAGTCCCACAAGCCAGTATCCTCTCCTCACACTCCCCCAGGGGCAGAATGGCTCCACCTGAGACTAGCTCCCCTCCCTGTCACCCCCACCCACCTCTGAGCACACTGCTTACTCTCCTACATCTTTACTCAGAGCTGTGGCCCTTCCAGGCCTCAACCCTCCACTTCGTGCAATCCTGAGCCCCTGCACCCACGGCCCCCTCTGCCTCTCCCTGCTCACTTCCTACTTGCCCTTCAGCCCTCACATGACTCATCTGCCAATCCAGGCAGTGGACTCTGGGTCCTGTGTCCTCTCTAGTGTTTTGATCCTGCTGTCCTTGGAATGATGGAATGACCCCTCTCCAGGCCCACCTGTTGACAGAGTCCTGCCTGCCCCCCAGCACCCTATGTTCCAGGTCACAACCCCTCACCCACTTTCTCCACTCCCCATTTCTAGCCAAGGGCTCTTGATTCTGTCACCGTTTCTTGAACATGGTGCCCTCTTTCACTCCCAGTCACTGTCAGTGGGCTCTTAGGCTAAAAAGCTGTACTGCCCACCTCCCTACCAGACTAAAGCCTGAGGCTGGGGAAGGTTTGGAGGAAGATTGTTTTATTTCCTGACCAGTGTAACTCTGGAGTTTCCTGTATGATTACACATGATCATCTCCAAAGTTGGGAGGACCTTGTCCTAACCAGCTTGTGAACCCCCTTCCATTAACTCAGTAACCGTTGTGCCCACGTGTGACTCCACCACGGGATGCTTTCCTTTGCTGTGCATCCCTGCTGCGTGTGTGTGTGGGGGGGGGGGGGGTTTCCACCTGTACCTTATAATTCATGCTGGAATAAATCTCCGGAAATACTATGCACACCACTGACTTCCTCAGGGTAAACTTCTAGATGTACAAACTTCCTCCCAGAAGGGCTGATCGATACCTCTCTAAATAGTATTCTTGCAAATGTGGCGTTAAAAACCCACTGCTCAGCCGAAACCGGTTTGGCTCAGTGGTAGTGTCGGTCTGCAGACTGAAGGGTCCCGGGTTCGATTCCGGTCAAGGGCATGTATCTTGGTTGCGGGCATATCCCCGGTAGGGGGTGTGCAAGAGGCAGCTGGTCGATGTTTCTAGCGCTCTCTCTCTCTCTTCCTCTCTGTAAAAAGTCAATAAAATATATTAAAAAGAAAAAAAAAGCCACGACTCTGGCCTCAGGCAGCCCTGTGTGCACTGCACCGCAGGCAGCATTTCCCAATGAGGTGAGCAAAGATGCCATTGGCACTGCTTTTGGGCGTCACTCATTCATCCACTTTGAGAAAAGGGACCGTCCTTTGAGCAGCAGAGCCACCCAGTGGTGAGGCCGCATGGTTTCACTGTGCAGTGTCCTCATAACATCCACAAGTACTTCTTCCCGTGGTTGCTTTATTGCTTTCTCAAACTTTGTAATTTTAAATTTATTGAACATAAGAAAATGCTTGAGTTGTAACTCAGGTTTTCTTGAACACACACATTATAGTCAGCATGTCAATCATTGGCCTGATGCCTGGCCATAGACCCTTCCACCCAGAGTGGCCTCTAATGCAGTGGACCCCAGTCTGACCCGAGCTTCAGGGGTGGTGCGTAACGGGCCCATCCTGTAGCTCTGGCCCTCGATGCCTGTCCTCCCACATGTGACAGGTGGTTCCTCTGGAGTCCCCACCACTACCCAACCGCAGCCAGTCCTGGGGTCACCTCATTTTGCTGATGATCATTCAGGCAGAATCCTGAGCTGAGTGAAGTAGCAAGATACTGCTGCTTCACAGCAGGTGAGGCAAGGTCAGGAGCCCAGGGACAGGCAGCCACCCAGCTGTGACCACTGCTGGCCTCCCCCCATGGCCCCCGCAGGGCCGTTGGTTAATGTGTTTAGAACTATATGCCAGCTGGGAGAATCGTACCACAGATGAGAACTATGTATGGATGTCCGTGACCACTCGAGTGTTCCATGGACTAAGAACACGTGGTGTGATAAAACGAGCCTCAGCACACTGCATCTGGTTTTGGGTTTTATTTTAGAATTTATAAAATTCCAGTGTCATCCATATTCATAAGCCTTTACATGTTTGCATATAATCTCCAAACTCCAAAGTTAAGGCCAAGGGATGGATTTTAACTGTGGACACACATGATATGGAAGACAGTCAACAAGAGGAAATGGACACTCACATCCCACGCCGCCCAGGGCTCCTGCAGCAGCACGAGGCAGCAGGAGATCCCCAGGCACAGTCACCTCATGAGCCTGACCAACAGCCACGCAGTGAGAACCCGCAGTGTAGGAGAGGGGGCTGCACCTACATTTAGGAATAAGTGCAGATGTGCAAACACCTGTTGGGACAATTAAAAATCCACCTTTGGGGGAAGGAGTTAGATATCACAGAAACAAGAGGAAGGAGGTTTGGGCAGATGCCAGAGGGCAGGGGATTTGGAGGGGAGGGCAGTACACCGGCCAACAGGAAAGGCTCCAAAACTCATGCAGATAGAAGGAACTCCAGGAACCAGGGAGGTAGGGGAGAAAGGCAAGACAGCACCTTCCCTCCTCACTTCCTTTCTCAATTGACTCCATCTAATCTGGGGTCACCCACCCAGCCTATTCAGCTGAAGCAAATGTCCTTTCCTACACCAATTTATCACTTCTACATATGGGCACATTTGAGGCTGCCTGAGCTAACAGGAACTCACAGTTGATATCAGACTTGTGTTAAGCAACTCAAGCCTATTCAGGAATTTCAGTCTAAAGATTGCCAAGCTGAAAAGTAACCAAATAGAAAACTTCGTGTAGGGGATGGTCAGGAAGAAGTGACCTTCCCCAGGGAAGGACTGGGCAAGGGGCACTAGTTGGCTTCTCTAGGAACTCCAGTATCTGATGGAAAACTTGAGAGGGGCTCAGTCACCTCTACAGGATAGAGGTGAGATGGGAAACCAGACAACGTGGAAACCAAGGGCTCATCTGTGGTTTGGCCACCTTCTCTCTCGAGCACACCTTCACCATGCTGGCTGGGGCAGGCACCTTGTCTGGTCTGGTATGACCCACCACACCTGAGAAAAGCAGACTCCCTTAGCAGGACCTGGTCCTCCAGTCCAGGTTGAGTGACAACCTCTCTCTACCTGAGGACCAGGAAGCTGCCTCTGAAGGCCAGCTCCCAGGATCATCACATGCATCCAGGTGTCTGAGGGCAGTCTGCAGGGTGGTGTGTGCACTCCCCACTGGCCACTTGACAGTCAGTGGACTCAGGCACTCGTGACCAGAGCCGTTGGAATTAGGAGGCTGAGCACCTGGGGTGGCACCACCCTCACCATGAGATCACTACCACACTGGCTCTGAGGTAGAAAGGAAACTGGACTAGGCATTTGGGGAGGGGCAGGAAAGCCAAAGTCAATGTGACAGGTCAGCTGGGAGGGGAAGTGAGTCTCCACCTCTCCCCGCATCCCCGTGTTTCTAAGCTCACACCAAACCCAGATGGCAGATGCCTCACTACAGACCTTGCTCACCAGATGCAGGGCTTCCGGTGCCTGTGGTGCAGGGGCACAGACACTTGGAACCTGGTCCCCCCGAGTCCAGGTGCTCCAGTGTGCACAATGGGCCTTCCTCCCACTCTGTGGTCTGGGATGAGCGGGCTTTGGCAGTGGGAAGGAGGCGGACTGTAGTATACAGAGGGCTGGACTACAGGCAGAGGGAGAAAGAGCTGGGAAAGGAAGAGGGCAAACGTTTGGCTTTTCTAAAGTCAAGGAAATTTATTTCCTGAGGTCACGACACAGGAAGTGGGCTCAGCCCCCAGCTATGCAGCACTCTTAGTGGGGCCAGGGCCTTATTGACATGCCGGTGGACCAGGAAGCTTGTCGTGAAATGTCCAAATGCCTCTATTAGTGTTTGAACCGTGGAAAGCTGGCCCACAGCCGGTGTCAAGGGCAGATCCTGAGCACGTGTTGGGCATTGGCCAGGCCCGAGGACCAGCTGCACACAGCGCCAGGCGCCCGGCTTCACTGCGAGACCTCGGGGAGGGGGAGCGTCAACAATTTATGGAGGGTCCAGCTGCTGAATCAGATTGAAACAAACCATTGTGTGGTGGGGTTTGGGTCAGCAGGCTGGAGAAGTTTGTTTTCTGATCATTATCGTTTGGGGCCCCACGGGAGGGTCTTGGGGGCCACCTGAGCCCCAAAGCTGGGAAATTCTTCAGAGCTGCTCATATCCGGAGCCTGTGGGGACAGAGAGAGCACAGCTTTACTAAGCAAGTTTCAATCAGGCAGCTCCAAAATGAACCCACCCTCTGACCCTGGGCCCACCCATTGGGGGGCGGGGGCGTTCCCACTTCCCAGGCACAGAGAGGGTGCCCAGGATGAGCACCGTCTGACCTTATCGCTGCTGTTGGCAGTCCAGGGAGCATCCCGAACCACAAAGCCCTTGGAAGGTGCCTTGGACTCCTCGTGGGCCGGGGGCTTCATGTACACCTGCAGGACCTCACTGTCCACCACGTCGGCTAGCTGTGGGCACAGGTGGGGGTCAGCAGGCAGCAGTGATTCCCGTGAGCATCTACTGTGCTTACTCTGCTTTCAGGTGCTGGGGCTTGCTGCACCTGACAGGCATCTGAAAACACCTACATGTGGCCTCACATGATCCCAGAACTCACATATTCTTCCTCCAGATTGAGGATGTGGTCGATGGCCTCCTCCACGTTCTCTGGGAGCCCCGTCACAGTGACACAGTTGGGGTCCGGGGCCCCGCTCTGAGGGAAGCGAATGTCCACCTGGAAGGAGCACACAGAGCAGCTGAGGTGGCTCCAAGTGCCCATTAGAGGATTTTGGACTAAATAGTGGCCAAACTGACTGGAACGGCCCATTTCTATGTTTTCCCTTTGGGTTCATGAAACTAAGGACCTGGTCCGTAGTCCCTCTTCTTCATGACATGTGAGACCAGTGCACTACAGAAGCTCGTGGTGTAAAGGCCCCAACTCCAAGATGCCTACCCCTCCTAGAGAATGGCTGGGGTGGCAGGCATCCAAACCTTGGGGGCTAGCTCAGGGCACTGCCCAACGGCATCAACTACACATCAGGAAGACTGAGGCCCTGGTGTCCCTCACCAGCCCAGGAAGAAACCTCTGACACCAGAGTACACCCATCTCATCCATGGGGCTTCCAGGACTAACATATACCTTTCACGGAGGGACTGAAAACACACCTTGAATTCATCCATGATTTTGCGAATGGCTTTGCCACGGGCACCAATGATGCGGGCGTGGACACGGTGGTCTAGTGGGACGTCCTCAGAAACCATCTGTTCAAGTTCACCCACAATTTTCAGAATGGCATCCCGGGCAGCTTCTGTGTTCTTTTCATACCCTGTGATGGTGATTTGGTCCTGCGGCTGAGAAAGGAGAATCCATCAGAAGAGAACATGTCCCAGGGTTCCTGGCTGGGAGGGGCATACAGGGACTGGAGAACGTTAGCTGGATTGAAGGAGGTGGTAGGCTTCAGTTCAAGGGGAAAGACTGATCCACTCAGAAGAGAAAGAAGGTGGAAAGAAACAATATCTATTTATTTAGCTCCTGCCCCCTCCCAGTAACACACAGGAAAGACAGAGCACCTGCCCACAAAGACATGGCAGGACACTAGCAGGTGAGGGGTCAGGGGAGGGCCTCCTGGGCCCCACATCTGGAGGTGTCTCAGTTGAGACGACCGACCTGGAAGAAGGTGCCAGACGGTGTAGCCAGTACCTGCAGTGCCCCGCCCGGGGTCTCCGATTATACAAATGTCCGATGAGCACACCAGATTGGTAAAGAGTGAGCAGAGAACAGATAATTCAAGGCACAGAGATAGAAATGGGAAAACAAAATAATCGCCTCAGACCACCTTCTTCTTCTTCTTTTTTTTTTAAAATATATTTTATTGATTTGATTTTCTTTTTTTTTTTTGCCCCCCTCCTT